TTTTGGTGTTTTTGGACTCTAGGGACCTCAAAACGAAAAAATATCTGTCCCGAGTCCAGGTCTTACCATGAGTACTAATCATGAACTGTTTGGGTAGTAGTTTATTCCCTATATGGGAAATTCGCTAAAAAGTATAACTTATTCTTGTAAAAAACAACCGACTTCAAACGCACTATAAATAATCCAGTAAATTTGTTTTTAGATGTTCTCCTAGCGAGAAAGTTGTGAGGTAGCTTTGATTTTTTGTATTTATTATGTGTTTTAGGGTGATGAATTAACGAGTGTGAGTCTGAGGTTTGCTAACAAAAATTTGTGACAAAACTTTGGCAAAATACCCCCACCGCAGCAAACCTGCAGACTAAGCAAATTTCCATTTGCCTAATTGGATTTACACTTAAATATATAATTTAAATTTCACATTTATTCCCTATTTATAACTTAGCACTAGTTTAACGAGTACTTAGGTTTGCTGTGACAGGGTGGGTAAAAAAGTGTTTCAAGTAAAATGTTAAATATTTTAGTATGAAATAAATGCATTTTCCAAATTTGATCAAAATATGTTCACAAAAAAAGCAAACTACAACAAGTTTTGTTTTTCTCCATATGAATAACATAAGAAATTTTAAATTTAAATTTATATGGAATTTTCTCCGTAACTACTACGCGCATGACAACGCTTAAATATACTAAATTGTTTGTTTTTTGAGCCTTACAAAATGGTATTGAAGTAAATTACAAAATTTTATGATTTTAGGGTCAAAAATGGGAAAAATTTATTTTCACCCAATAAAACCTGTTCCCATGGTCCGATCATGCTGGTTCGCTCGTTTAAATTAATGTAGGTTTACACGTTTGTACCAAATTTAATCGAAATCAGATCACTTTTTCACCTTTTCGTTTTCAGGTCCTTAGAGGCCAAAAATACCATCCGTTCAAAAGTAAATCGGACCCGGGTCCAGGTCTTACCACGAGTACTATATGGTAATAGCTTATTCCCTATATGAAAAATTTGCTAAAATGATAAAAATGTGGGGAAATTTTGATTTTTGTAATATTTTGCTTAACTCAGAAACTATCAACTTTATTCGTAAATAATCTATATTATTAAAATTTTGCTAGTTTTTTATTAATATTTGTAATTAATTTTTTTAAATTAAATATTTCAATTGCTACAACTGAATTAAAAAAATGAAATAATTTTAATAAAGTAATCTTTTGTAATAGTCAAGCTCACGTATTTTAAGTCGGCTCTAGGATGAGTTTTGACTCAACATACTCAATATTTAAAGATGATGTCCACCCACATTGCAGGCGATTATCTTTAACTAAAATTTACATTAGGCCTATAATGTTTCATTATTTCTCGGTTAGTTGTATTTAGCTACATGAGAAGTTATGTGTATAGCTATGTCAGGGATACATTTAACTAGGTATGATGTGTATAGCGATGGGAGGGATGTATACAGCGAGACGTTTTGTGTATAGAGATGTATTTAGCTAGGTACGGATGTGTGTAGCGATCTATGTGAAAGATATATGTAGCGAGACGTTATGTGTTGGAGGAAATTATTATCGTGGTGAGGAATATAATAAGCGAGGCGTGATATGTAAAGCGAGATATGATATGTGTAGTATAGATGTGAGGGATATATAGTGCGAGGTATGGTGTGTATGACGGTTTGAGGGTATAAGTAGCGTAGTGTATGTGTATAGCGTGTTGAAGTGTGTAGGTAGCGAGAGGCGATGTGTATACGTAGAGGGCGATGGGGAGGTTTGTTTAGTGGCAGGTGTCGTGTATTTATTTTTGTTTACGTATCTCCATCCCATCAACTGTTGCCGCGGCGTTGTAATGAAAATACCGACTGTCCAATATGTAGCGTCCGTTGTAACAGCCATTTGGAAATGTTTTATAACTTTTCATCTCGAATTTACTTGTGTGGCGTTGTCTTTACATTTCATCACAACCGTTGTTATTATTTAAAATTTATTTTTAAAATACTGTATGTCCGTTTATTTTTGTACGAGAGCATAGGTTTTGGAAATTTTTTTAGGAAATTTCCAACATAGTTGGAAAAATTTACAGTCTGATGAAATAATTCATGACATCTTAAAATATAACATTCTAATGCTTAGAAATTTGGTAACATTATATCGGCCTATGATCTTTGTTATTTTATTTATATTTTACTTAACGTTTAATTAGTAAGTTGGTACCTCTCATAATACCAACGATATGCTGGACGCTCTGTAGAACAATTCCACGTCTCGGCATACCTCATGCGCATTATAGAGGATTACCTCCGGTTCCGCCTCCTCATGTATGATACTACAGAAGGCCCGCGGACGATGAGTGTCACTTCTGGTGCTGCCCAAGGTTCCATACTCGACCTGGACCTCTGGAACATTGCCTACGACTGCCTCTTCGGGTCTGAAATGCCTGATTAAACCGTTTTAGTTGGGTACTCAAATGATATTTCGGATTTAATAGCTGCTCGTAGTGTTGATCTGGCCCAGCTAGAATTAAACCGAGTCATGCAAACTATAAACGCATGGATGGCAGATCACGGTCTCTCACTCGCTCTGAACAAACAGAGATCGGGATTCTGACCAAAAAGCGGATTGACACCATTGTGCCGTTGAGGGTGGATCAAAGTCCAAACCGTTCGTGCTACCAAGTACCTTGGTGTCATGGGGGACACTAAGCTCAGCTGGCGGGACCAGATATTCCGTACTGCGGACAAGGCCGCTTAGGTGATTTCTTCTCTTAGCCGGTTAATGGCCAATGTTGGAGGTCCTCGTTCCAGTTGCAGAAGGCTGTTGATGTCTGCAGTTCAGTATGTACTCCTGTATGATGCAGAAGTGTGGGCAGACGCGCTCAATAAGGAGGCGTATAGGATGCGGCTCGCCAGAGTGCTGAGTCAGGCAGCACTCAGGGTAGCATCCGCCTACCGAACAGTATCTGAACCCGCCATCTTGGTGGTTGCTGGAGTAATCCCCGTCTAACTTTTGGCGTGGAGGGGAAAGCGATTTGTCAGCGACGTGGGGAGAACCATGCAAAAACGGAGGCGCGCAACCGCACCTACCAGCTCTGGCAGGAGAGCTGGGAACAGGAGACGCGGGAACGCTGGACAAGGAGACTGATCCATTAGGATGGACAAAGCCGTGTCACCCGATTACATCTACTGCCCAGACACTCCCGACGACGCGGAGCACGCCTTCTTCCGCTGCCAGCGTTGGGAAGGTTTCTGCCTGGAGGCTCAACAACATGTAGAACAGTTGACGGTGGACACGGTCATTCCGATGATGACGTGAGAGGACAATTGGACCTGTATGTCGCATTTTGTCCAGGGTATTCTCCGCACCAAGAAGCTAGAGCTTGACCACGATGCAGTCTAGGTCGTAAAGAAATTTAATGTCAGAAACGGTGCGAGCCCTGAGGGCTTAGGTCACACGTTTTCAAACAATCCCAGGTCTGTGTCCAACAGAGTAGAGGGGGGGTTTTAGTGAGTTATCCTGATAAGCTCAGGAGTATCTCACTACATACTGGATACCAGTGTGCGTAAAAGCATTACAAAAACATATATTACCTCCTCCTTATTTTACCTCCTCTCCCTAAAAAAAAAAATACCAACGTTAGTTGATCATAATACTTTGTTTGCGAGTTTTAATGCTTTTGGTGAAGTTGTAAACTATCCAGTGGACATCCTAACTTTATTCATGATCAAAGCTCCGAAATCTTCGTAAGCCTCAGACTTTAAAGCGTGTTTTGATAAGTTTTTATTTAATCATGGACTAGTGGTAAAGCCAATCGCATTAATAAAAATGATTGATGTTTAACTGCGGCCTTTGGATGGTTTCCATTTGGATGAGTATTTTGCCCACGCCTTTGAACTTTCAAATTTATTTTTATGAGATTTATATAATTTCTTGTATTGTTTGGTTTGAAAAAGTAAACATTACCTCAATGCTCCATACCAAAAAGGACGAGTGTACCCTCACTAAGATATGTGCTTTTAAAATAGTTTCATCTTTGAAAGTACAAAAAAACATGTATAAAAAATAATGAAACTGATCATAGCTGAAGCTGATTCAGTCAAGCAGTAACATCTTCAAGCAATACAACTATTTTCTTGTAATCTATGAAATCTCATATTGTGCTCAGTTTTAGTAATGTGGAATACATCATAACTGTGACAGAAATATAAACTGGATTGATACTTTAGTAACTATTTTAGCCAATAATGGAATGGATTGAACCTCGTGTTACCATGGTCATCGAGATGGGAGAATGTATGGTATAATAAATAAATCCCTCACAAAGTGTATGGCCAAACCGCGACTGTCACACGAAAGCCGTCAGGTGTCGAGATCACAAAAGCGGGGATGGAACTGTGGCCTATATTGTCGGAAACCAACAGTTGTCATGTTTTGTATTTCTGTTCCACAAAACCATAAACCGGAATCACTGCATATCTACCACATCGGGTGCGGCGAGTTTACATATTATGTACGAATACAGTTCAGATGGTGCAAGTTTTTTCGTCACAAGTTTTGTTTCATCAGTTACTAAATTTATTTTTTTTGTTGGGATAACGTATATTATTAACGATTTCTGGCAACAAAATAACATTATGTTAATAATTAATTAATTGTTGTATTGTTGAAACGTCGAATTGTACCCACGAATACTAGAATGTACCCGATACTTGTATGTATATAACTGCCTCTACAAGTATTATATTTAATGGTCGAGACGACATTTGTACCAATATGATGAGAAACATTTAATTTCTTAATCATTAATGAGTTCATGAATTCATTCAAAATTATTTATAATACGCTGAGGAACGCAAGACAATAATTTACTCATGCTTTATTGATTAGTAAAGTGAAAAATATTTATCTTACGTTGAAAATGGGATATGATAGGTTTTAATTACTGTATAGGGGCTCTTATTAAGATCCATAGTATGACGTACCATGTCTTTTGTCTGTTGCAGGGAGGGTCGACAGAAGACCACGCCGGCGCCGACGGAGGCTCCTAGTCAGCTGATGACGCCACGACGTCGTGTCGCGCGCGCCGCCACCGCTAGGAAGGAACGAGTCTGGGACTACGGCGTCATCCCGTACGAGATTGACGGCAACTTCAGCGGCGCACACAAGGCGCTCTTCAAACAAGCGATGAGGCACTGGGAGAACTTCACTTGCGTCAAGTTTGTGGAGAGAAACGCTCCAGAACACCCCAACTATATAGTGTTCACGGAGCGCCCGTGCGGGTGAGACAAAACAGTAGTTGTAGTTACGTTACAATAGTGCATCTACACTGTGCTTTACACGCTTGAGGACGACGCCGTTACCAGTGTTGTCACCTGTTTGCAGATGCTGCTCGTTCGTGGGCAAGCGCGGCAACGGACCGCAGGCGATCTCCATCGGCAAGAACTGCGACAAGTTCGGCATCGTAGTGCACGAGTTGGGCCACGTGGTCGGGTTCTGGCACGAACACACACGTCCTGACCGCGACAACCACGTACAGATTGTGCGGGACAACATCATGGCAGGTATCATCTTTTCCTTCATACAGCGTTCTTAACGTAAAGGTTAAACTTAGTACAATAAGCTATTTTTGATCCTGAGTCGGACATTTTTTGTTGGTTTGAAACTACCCCCAGCTGTCCTAGATCATTGGACTTGCAATAAATAGCTGAAGATCTGTTGGTCCTTGTTAGGTACAAAGCTAGACAATGCTTTCCACTCCCATGTCCATGCTCATCCTTTTATTCGTTTTGAAATAACTCCTGTAATACTTTGCAATTGCTCGAATTCGAGCAACATGCACACTAGTTTAGGTTTAAATATGACCAGGTGCGTCCTCATCCAAATTAGTAATAGGGATTGTGTGGGTTTTAATTGTGATTAAATTTTTTTTAGGACAAGAGTACAACTTCAACAAACTGACAGAAGATGAGGTTAACTCTCTGGGTCTTCCCTATGACTATGACTCCATCATGCACTATGCCAGAAACACATTCTCTAAGGTAAGGGTTTGTAAGCTGGAGTGTTTAATGTCTGTATTGACTGTGTTTTATTAGTATTCCCGGTTGTATTGTGTACCCTATATATTTTTTTTAACTGAAGGATTCAGTAAAAACAACTTTAAAATATTATGCAGTGTAACCCTAAAAGATAAGACACATTTTGTTTCAGAAATAAGTTCATTGCCGAGGTTGAATCATTATTTTCTAATTTGTTTATTAGAAGATGATTTTGAAAAGATTGTTTGGTAAATGATTCGGGTATGTCTAGCATTAAAAATAAACACATAACCAGCTCGATGACACAAATGAACAGTGTACAAAATGTTTACTGAACATTAATTTGATATAAACTATACATTTTATATATGTACAAGCTGCTATACCCGTGCTTTGCAACGGGAAGAAAATGTGACCTATAGAGCTATTAACGTGGTGCTGATGTGTGTTTTAAAATACAGCAACTCTATGATTTAGTTTGAAAATATAAACTGATTTCAAAGTGTAAACCTACTTTCTTTCAAACCCCTACTTTTGACTTTAATAGATCTCTTAGCACAACATACCTTAGTGTAGCAATAGCATCAATTTATTGCTTCATAATATTGATGCTTTATGAATTACATGTTTCACCATTGCCTTTAATTTTATTCATTCCTCTTCACGTAGCTTACAATATAAATGAAAAAATGAAACTTTGAGCAATACTTTACAAAACGTACACAACCTCACTTTAAAACCAAACATAGCCCTCCTCAATCTACATAAAGCATCACAAACATCTTATTCGAGTAAATAAACAAACATCAGTTCATTGTATTGACCAGCTGTTTCATTAACTAAATTAAATTAAATCATCTAAACCTTAAAAGCATGCCAGGCGTAGCCCTTTGGAAATCAGCCTGTGGGGCAGAGCCCTTAGGAAGTTTGTCCATATAAATACTTTTCGGCAAATCTACACACTCTAAGCTTAATTTTGATGTGCCATAATGTGCCATGCTATATTTTTATTTGGTAAATGGCCTTAACCGTTTACATAAAATTTGATTAATAATATAATAGATTGTAAAATATTTAGTAAATATATTACTGAGTATTTTGTAAATTCTAAAATAGCCTATTGTAAAATTTATTTAAAAAAATATTTTACATTTTAAAATAAGCTAATTAGAATTGTTATACAATGTTTATGGAATTATATGCAAGTGAAAATGTCAATGTATATGTTTATCTAAATTGAAATATTTCCATTATTCACCTTCTATCAAACACACTTTGTTTTAGCGAATTTCCCTATAGGGAAGTAGCTATTACCGTAGGTGGCACGGTAAGACCTAGACTCGGGACCGATTTACTTTTTCATTTTGATGTCCCCAGAGGCCAAAAACACCATTCGTTAAAATTTTTATATATGTATATATATATAAGTCTATATATATATATATATATATATATACAGACTTATATATATCACGTCCGTGAACGCGATAACTTGAGTAATTTTGGTCCGATTTTGATGAAATTTGGTTTAAAGGTGTAAAGCGGGATAAACTTGAATGAGTTCGCGAACCAGCACGATCGGACCATGGGAAAGGGGCTTTACGGGGGGTTTTATGGGGTAAAAATTGGTTTTTCTCACTTTTGACCCTCAAAACACAAAATTTTCCGATTTCTCTTTAGACCTTTTTAAAGAGCTTAGAAAAACAAATAATTTAGTATATAAAAGTATTTTTGTTCAATTATTAGTAACGTAGAAAATTAACAAAATTGTAAATTTCAAATTCCCATGTTATTCTTATGGAGAATATTGTCAAATGTTGTAGTTTGCTTGTTTATGGATATATTTTGATCAAACTTGGCAAATTTATTTATTTTGTACTAAGCTATCAATATTTTACTCAAAAACACACTTTATTAGTTTCCTTGTAGCAGCAAACCTAGGTACTCGTTAAACCTAATGTTATTAAAATATATTTAACTGAAAATCAATTCGGACAAATGGAAATTCGCTTAGTCCTCAGGTTTGCTGCAGCGGGGGTATTATTCTATAGTTTCTATATTTTCTACTTCTCGTGATTAACTGAGCTAAATATTCCTCTACATACCTTCTTGATCTGACAGTTGAGTTTAGAGCAGAGAGCACAGAATCCTCTCTCTGGTTTAGAGCCCAACCGACATTATATCCATAATTAACTGATATCATTAGTAGAGCTATAAACTATGCATTACATTTATTACATTTATTTGCATTGGATATGTTGGCTGAAACATATCCAAACTGAATAAATTACAAAAGTGTTATTGTTCATACTATATTATGAACAGGTTACAATTTAGTTTATTTTTCAAGCCATTAGATGTTAAAAACAGCTCAAAGCCTTTATTAAATAATTATTTTTTTAACTCATACATAAAAGTATTTACGGTATTATGTTTTTTGGTGGTATAATATGATTGGTTAATTTGGTGTTTTCAGAAACATCGTGCTGAACGGGGCCGTAGCTTGATTTATAGAAATTGAGTTGATGGAACTGCAATGTATGGGGAATTATTGACGAAATTAACCATAGTACATGGGGACCAAGCTTTGCTCGGGGAAATCATTAGTGTACTCTGAAAGCAGTTTAGTATTGCAGATACATTAATCCACTCCCAAACTCCACACTGCTCACCTTCACTACTTCCTTCACCACTCCCTACGTCGTGGACCTGTTTGCCCTCCTTCCCTATACTATTTTAGAATTGCAAATACATAAATGCCACAGACAGTTCCCACACTCTGCACTGCTAGCCTTACTACATACTTCACCATTTCCTACGTCATGGACCTGTTTTCCTCCCTTCTCATAGCATTTTAGGATTGTAGATACCTTAATCTAATCCCCATTAGTTCCCACACTCCAGACTGCTCACCTTTACTACTTCTTTCACCACTTCCTACGACGCGGACCTGATTCCTTCCCTTCCCATAGCATTTTAGGATTGTATATGCCTTAATCTAATCGTCATAAACAGTTCCCACACTCCGTACAGCACACCTTGACTACTTCCCTCACCACTTCCTACGTAGCGGACCTGTTTTCCTCCCTTCCCACGGCATTTTAGGTTTGTAGATTCCTTAATCTAATCGTCATTAACAGTTCCCAAACTCCGGACAGCTCGCCTTTACTTCCTATGTCGTGGACCTGCTTTCCTCCCTTCCCATTGCATTTTAAGATTGCAGATTCCTTAATATAATCGTCATATACAGTTTCCACACTCAGGACTGCTCGCCTTTACTACTTCCTTTACCACTTCCTACGTCGCGGACCTGTTTCCCTCCCTTCCCGCAGCATTTTAGGATTGCAGATACCTTAATCTTATTGGCATTAACAGTTCCCTCAATCCGGACTGCTTGTCTTTATTATAATCATAGATAAAAAAAGTCCTGCTACAATGTATCGAGTAATCTTCAGTATAATCTTTGCTCAATAGTAACAACTGATGTTTTTCCTTTTGTACTGTATTTATAATTTGCTAGTATACTGTGGCTAGACAACTAACTTACAAGTATTTTGTTTACTTTTTCCTTGTTAATTCAACCAACATTGTTACTTAGCAACCCATAAGACTAATGTTAAATAAATGTGATTTTCAGTTTAATTTTTCTACGTAATTAGATTTTTGTTGGCAGTTCTAACTGCAGTAAACTCGTTTTTAGTCCAGAAATAAACTACTTACAACATTTGAAGAAAATCATCGGAGCCGTTTTTGAGATCTTTGTGCAAACATACATACAAACATTGCTCGTATTAGATAAAACATGGTCAGATTTGATCATGAAAATAAAAGGTTATTTTATCATATCTATAAAAGGTTCTATCTCTATTCTGAGTCAATGGCTCAAAACTGGATCCAACTGTCTTTTATCATTGCGGTGATCATTAATAAATGATCCCTGGCCTAGAACAGCTTATCTCCAGTCAGTACCAAATCTAGAAAGTACACTTATTATTCAATTATATTCTGCATCAAGTACGCATCTTAGAGTATGTCGCTGTCTCAAAGAATGGATTGAATTACTGAAAAATATAGGACTATAGTAGCAGCGTTCATATACATTGTTAGTTTTGTATGTTGGTTCTAGATATCAGAAAGCCATTCTGAAAAATTCATCTACTAAATATATTTTCTTATGCAAATCCTTAAGCCCCAAGTTTTGATGTTGACACCACGCTATGGCTATGCACTGTAGTGTAACATGTGGGACTCCCTTACCAGGGGTTGATGGTCAGGTGGTGACGAGGTCACTGGGTCATGGGTCAAAACACACACTATAGCAGAGCAGGATTTGGTCCCCCTCTGTCAAGTAAGCCGGATATAGCTGTGCCCCTCTAACACTCTCACACGTGTAGCTCACACACACACTCACACACACCCAATTACAAAACATCCACATGTGCTTCTGAAAGATGGCTAAATTAGTTTGACTATTTTGATAGTGGCAGTCAAATAGTCATATTGTAGAATTTCGATAGCGTGTGGAGTGGACTGTATTTATAAGTTAAGCGGAGTTTTCATTCTTCAAATTAGAACACTGAGATACAATTAACAAATACTTTTAATATTAACAAATAAACTTTCAATGATTTTACAGAACTTTAAAGAGAGATTACAAAAGAGAGAGGGATCTTGAGTCTTGATGTGTTTGTTTTTTTTCAACTAACAAAATTACTAATAAATTATTTCATTGTTAAATCACATATGTTGTTTTAAACATTAAACCAAATTAAAAACCAATGCCACCTGTATTTATTTTTAGTTGATAGAAAGCATTATTATAACAAAGTTAATTATACTGAATATTACTGAACATACCCCCGCCCGTGAACCACTTAGTGGGGTTCACCTAATAATCAAGTATTGAGAAGAAAAAAAAATGTATTTAGAAATGAACATATTATTTACAATAAACTCTTGGTTAACAGTCTTAACTTCTTTTATTACTCATTGATTGGGAGGGG